TCCATAGTTGAGGGCAAGTCTATCACTCAATGAATTGGTTTGGATCATCTACTCATCTGTCCTTAAATTTATCCTACACATCAACTCTAAAAATCTTTTACTATAAGAATCTCTAAGAGAAATTTAATATTTATTTGGGATAGGTATATGATCGTTCTAATTCCCCTTGCCTTTCATAATTTGTAATAAATTATTTGATAAAGTAAATTAAGTTGTCATTTTATATTGCTCACATTCTTATAAGTTAATGAAGCTCATAGTTTAGATATTACTATTATTATAGATATTGTATTCTTTTAACTCCTTAAGCTAAATATTTGAATGTTGTTTGACATTGGATAGATATAAATTATTTTATTAAAAGACAATCAATATGAGTGCATAATATGTACAAATAATTCTCAGACTATATTTTATAAATTTTGAAACCAGAGAGTAATCGTTTTGACAGGTCAATTAGTATTTAGGAAGATGTAAAAAGAGTACAACATCGGATTTTGGAATTGATCACATAATTTATATTTTCTTTCTTGATAGAATCTGTACATTCTAACTTAGAAAATTCTAGAAAAAAATTCTTGAATATCTATAATACTCGATCACCAGATAAACAACAGGTGGAAGTAAAAATTTCCCTTTTTAATGCAAGTAAATTAAAAAGTCTATTTATCGAATTTGAAAATTACACAATTTCTTTACTTCTAATGACGTGTCATAAAGATTCTTCTCATAAGATATCAAAACATTGCTCTATACGGGAATATCTCGGCCTCCCATGAGTCATGACAATTACCAAATTAACACTTTCTATACGGGAATACCTTGGCCGCCCATGAGCCATGACAATTACCAAATTACCCAATACGCAGTGGATATGCTCGGATCAGATAGGACTTTACTCAACCCACAAGTATCACATATTTATATTTGAGGTTTTAATTTAATTGATTCATTTCTAAAAGACACTATAATTTATTAATTTATTTATAAATTACTACTAACACTTAAACATTGGGGTGAATGCAAGCCACGTAGGATGGTCAAATAAGGTCATAGAACAAATTTTCAAAACAGTCTCAAACCCGTTTTTAATTTTCAAAACCGACCCACTTTTTTTTACCAAAATCAATCAATTTTTTAGCATGTCAGCTTACTCTTATTTCCTAATTAGTCGGGGTTCCCAATCCCGACTATTTAGAACATAAAAAATCGGGTTTAAGACTTTTAATTAGGGTTTAATAACCTCCTAAACAGTCGGGGTTATCAACCCCGATTGTTTAGGAATGAGATTAAGCTGACGTGGCAAAAAATACATGTTTGCTATATCCACTCCCAAACAGTAATTTTGGGAGTTGGATTGCCGAAAATGCCCTTTTGTTACCACCGGAGCGGTGTGCAATAATTTTTTTTTAAATTATTACTGCCACCGGACTCCGTGTCAGGTGTGCTTTATATATTTTTTTAATTGTTCGCCCACCGGACTCCGTGTCCGGTGTGCTTTATATATTTTTTTTTTAATTTTTCGCCCACCGGACTCCGTGTCCGGTGAGAAATAAGTAATTGTTTTTTTAGTTTTTTTGGTTTTGAAGTAAGATGTGATTAATTTACATTTTTTGTTTTAAAAAGAATTTATTTGCATCTTATAAGATTAAAATAAAAGTAAATTATTTTGCGAATTTTCTTTTTTTGTCATACTTACCACTACAATTTTTGATTTATGTTGAAAATTTATGTTAATATGAAATAGTTTTATAAATTGTGTTATTAAATGCAACGTCATGTTATTAATTTTTTAATCCTAGTTTAAAAATAATGAGAATATTAAACTTAAAATGATATCATTAAAATTGAAATGTTAACATTAGAAATTAAAAATAATCCAAATTTCATACAACTAATAAATGTAGCCAAAAAAAAAAGAAATAACACTAATCTTGGGAGAAGGGCAATTTAGTCCTCACACACCCCCAAAGTTACTGTTTGGGAGTGTGAATAGTTGGACCCAAAAAAATATGTCGATTTTGGTAAAAAAAAGTGTCAGTTTTGAAAATTAAAACATGCTGTGAGGCTGTTTTGAAAATTTTTTGTAAGGTCATACGTTGAGTTCCCTTTTCCGATCTCAACCTTCGCCAGTTAAAAAAAATAAAAACCCCTCGTTTCTAAGTCCTTCCCCATTTCGTTTCTGAATTTTCCGAGAAATCAACCGAATTTATTTGAGCGATCTACAATGGAGAAGCTTCGGACTTCTCAATTCAAATCAGTACGCTATTCTCTCCCTTTAATATTTAATTTTAATTATATTTAAAATCATTTTGAAGAGATTGAAGATTATTCCCTTTAGGGCGGAAAATGTTGAGTTATTGCATCCCAAATTCTCTCAATTTACACTATTCTTGAAATTTTGACCACCAATTCCGGGAAAATTCGCCTTCTAACGTCATTGATTGAAGATTATTCCCTTTAGGGCGGAAAATGTTAGAGTTATCCAAATTGTCTCAATTTACACTATTCTTGAAATTTTGACCACCAGTACCGGGAAAATTCGCCTTCTAACTTCATTTTACCATATTATTTATGTAAATTTGATTAAGAAAAAATATCCTTTTTTTTTCCTCCGAAGTTTATTATTAGATACTTAGAATGGAGCTACAACGGCCAGGCCCGATATCACTTTAGGGCATCTCCAACCCATCGCACCAAAATGGTGCAAATTTTGCACCAAAATGATGCAAAAGTCACATCTAACAGTAATTCATCTCTAACCCACTGCACCATTTTTTGCATAAAAAAATATATTCTTAGTATCTTTCTTTTTATCTACTTTTATATTATTATTTTTTATTCCCTATATTTTTAACTATTTCAACAATTAACCCCACATATCAAATTTTATTTTTTTCACATATTTTCCAAACAAAATGATTTATTATTTAAAAAATTAAACTAATAAAACAATAAAATATTATTTTATTAATTAAAATAACTTGATTGCTAAAATATTATATTTTTATTATTGATATTGCCAAAATATTACATTCAAGAACACAACAGAAAATAAAATACAAGAAAATAATTAAACATTAACAACAATATAAAAATTACAAATTTAGTATGCACTTAACTATCTGAATTAGTGTATTCCTCCCATAGATGATCTATCAATGCATTACGAAGCGCAATATGGGCATCTTTATCCTTGATTTTTTCGTAACGTGTAATAAATTGAGTAAATTTTGTAGTTTCATCTGCTACCATATTAACTTCTGGTGTTGGTGCTTCCCTCACTTCTTGAATTGGTGCATAAAGATCACGTTCATCCTCGATTATCATATTGTGCATAATAATGCATGCAGTCATTATGTCATGTAATACATATTTTTTTTAAAAACGTGCTGATCCTGTCACAATTGCAAATCGTGATTGGAGAACTCCGAACGCACGTTCTACGTCTTTTCTACATGCTTCCTGTTTCTACAATCACGATTTGCAATTGGATATACACCATCAGCTAAATAATAACCCATATTATACTCTTTTCCTTGAATAACATAGTAAGCGGGAGGAGCAATACCTTAAGCTAGGTTAGAGAAAAGATTAGATGACTCTAACACATTGATATCATTATTGGTGCCTGGCATACCAAAATATGCGTGCCATATCCAAAGATCATAATCTGTCACAGCTTCAAGGATAATAGTTGGTGACCCACTACGTCCTGTGTATTACCCAGACCATGTTGTTGGATAATTTTTCCATTTCCAATGCATACAATCAAGACTTCCTAATATTCCTGAAAAATCACATTTTTTACCAATATAGAGTAGCCTAGCAATATCGTTAGCGTTAGGTGTTCGTAGATACCGCTCTGCGAATATCTCCACCATAGCACGACAAAATCTTGTCATACTTTCAATTGCTGTTGACTCATCTATTTTAACGTATTCGTCCGTAGCATCAGCTGGTAGACCGTATGCCAACATGCGGAAAACAGCTGTTACTTTCTGTAACGGCGATAATCCCATTCTACCAAGTCCATCACTTCGTTGTTGGAAGTAATGGTCATGATCTTTCACTGCATCAACAATACGAATGAACAAACTTCTTGACATCCGATATCGACGACGAAACATATCTTCTCCAAAACGTGGATTATCGACAAAGTAATCTATGACCAAATTCTGATTCGCAGTTTCTCGATCGCGGTTGATCACTGCATGACCAGGAATCGAGCCACCATGGATCGGTTGGGAGTTTTGTTGACGTAAATTGTTAGCGAGGATCATGTTGTTGTTGATGTACTCACAAATTACTTCTTCGGTTTCATTAATCTCTGCAATGATATTGGTCAGAAAATTATCATCATCCGAAGATGAAGATGATGATAAATATGATGGACCTCCAACATCGAAATTTATTTTTGGAGTAAGAAAAGAATGACTGAGGTATGCAGAAATGGAGAATAATAATTTTAACACAACAACGAATAATTGTGTGGATGTACCTAATCTAGTATGCTATTTATAAAACTTTACTGAGTTGTGTATACGTTGGACAGTGTGTAAAGCCGACCGGTTTTCAAAAAAATGATTCCCACTCGTACAAAGCTTTCACACAATTCAAAGAAAGCTGAGCTGTGTATACGTTGGACAATGTGTAAAGCTGATCAGTTTTCAAAAAATAATTCCCACTCGTACAAAGCTTTCACACAATTTAAGGAAAGCTGAGCTGTGTATACGTTGGACAATGTGTAAAGCTGATCAGTTTTCAAAAAATGATTCCCACTCGTACAAAGCTTTCACACAATTTAAGGAAAGCTGAGCTGTGTATACGTTGGACAATTTATGAAGCTGATCAGTTTTTAAAAAATGATTCACACTCGTACAAAACTTTCACACAATTCAAGGAAAGCTGAGCTGTGTATACGTTGGACAATGTGTAAAGCTGATCAATTTTCAAAAAATGATTCCCACTTGTACAAAGCTTTCACACAACTCAAGGAAAGCTGAGCTGTGTATATGTTGGATAATGTGTAAAGCTGATCAGTTTTCAAAAAATAATTCCCACCGATAACGTTGGACAATGTGTAAAGCTGATCATTTTGTCCACAACGATTCAATTTCAAATGTTGACTATCGAAAAATTCAAATTCAAACAAAAAAAAAAAAAATTGGATTGGCTATAAATAACATTCACGGTTTCTACTTCAAACCACCCAATTCTAAGTATTTCTTCAAAGTATTTCTAATCTCCAAACCAACCGCTTTTTACAAAAAAAAATGTTTGTTCGATCATCTGGATACACTGTTACTGAAGATGTGCTCCTTTGTCAAGTATTCTTGGATATTTCTCAAGACCCTATTATCGGTAGAAACCAATCTCGAGATGCATTTTGGTCTCGTATGAATGACAAATACAATGAACTTCGAGACCAAAATTCTGATGTGCGTACAAGCCGATCAATTCGTTCTCGAATGGAAATCATAAGTAATGAAGTAAGGAAATTGAATGCGTGTTTGAGACAAGTAGAGAATCTGAATCCAAGTGGTGCTTCAGATGAAGATATTGTAAGTATTCTATTAATTATCGTTTGAAATTTATTATTATTGTTGAAAAACATAACTTGATGTTCATTAGAATTTGCAGTTAGTTCGAGCAAAGATGTTATTTATGCAAGAACCAAAGTACAAAAAAGGTTTCAAATTTGATCATGTCTGGAATATGGTTAAAAATTTTAAAAAATTTAAAGATGATGTCCCCACAGCAAGACAAGTTGGTCGAAGACAACCCCAAAGTGTGAACTTCGACTCGTCACAATCAGATAATCCCACTCCGGAATCTCCTATATCAACATCTCCTGGACTGTCATCGTTTACTCCATCTGAACGACCTATTGGGGTAAAAAAAAGTCAAATTGAAAAGAAAAAATGATGATCATGAGTCAAGCGTAGTGGAATCCATCGAGACCTCCAACAACCGACTTATAGACAGGTTAGACAAGGCGAGCTTGGACAGACAAGTAGCATTTGATATCGAGCGAGAAAAGATAGCTATGAAAAAAGATAGAGATGAATGGAAAATTATAATGAAAGATTTGAATTCCATTGCTGATCCAAACGTGCGTGAGTACGTTCGAGCTCAACAGATTAAAATAATACAAAAAAGAAATCAACAAGAACAAGGGTCTGCTTCTAATTTTAGCAATTATTTCAATGATATTGGACACTCTGGCCCCGATCTACCAGATTATTGAGAGTTGCTTGTCCATCTTAAGTAACGTCACCATGTTTAGTTTGTATTTTATGTTTTATTTTAATGAAGTTTTATATTATGTGTGTCAGTTTTTATATGTTATGTATTCCAGATATGTAATTTATATTTGAATTATGTATTATGATTGCTCTTTAATGAAGTTTTATATTATTAATGTCTAGATTTTAATATTATAATTAATAATAATGTCTTTTAAATTTTAGCATTATTTTTATTTTTAAAAAATAATTTATTTTGTCCAAATTATACAATTAGGGTAAAATTATAAAATTTAAATATTATTGGGGTTGTTTTATACATTTAATAAAACAATTGGGGTCAAATTGTAAATACATAAAAGTATGAGGTAAAAATAAAAAAATTGAAAAAAATAATAATAAATAAACAGTAATGCGATGATGAACAGTGTGACGCCAAATATGGCGTCGCGCTGTTCATCACTGCTAAAATAGCGCCCAAAATGGCGCTGGGTTGGAGACTGATCGTAGCGGCAAAATCCAGTTTTGCCTCAAAATGGCGCTCGGTTGGAGATGGTCTTAGGCATGAGCTTTATGTGGAATTTGTAGATGTTATTACCTGTTAGTGCCAAGTTTAATGTGTAAGATCCGACTCTGATTCTTTTGCTAATAACATGACTCGGACTTGTGTAGAGCTAAGAATTATACAGTCTAACTAAATTTTGATTAAAGATTCATTTAGTACTTTGAATTTGGGGATTTCTACGTGTAGTTCCCTAATTCTTTCTGCCTAAAATCTTTATAAGCCCTATTTCTAAAAAAAAATTAATTTAGAAAGTTGTGTGGATGCTATAGTTTTGTGAGTTATGCATTTAATAACATGTCCCATGTTTACAACTGATGATCAATATATCTAAGGTTGAGTCTATTATAGAACAGTACTCTACATTGACCCTTGAAATCTTGAATATGATTATTCTCAAACAGATAAATTGTAACACAGTCACCTTGATGTGAGTCCTGGTTTAAAATCAACATGACGATTCCTGCAGTTAATCAGTGTATGAATTTGCTGTTCCAGTATATTTGTCGATGCATGACCCTTGAATGATATGTTCAGAATGATGTGGAATCAAGGAACAATGTGCTACTTGAGCGTATTTAGTAGACCAGAGACGTTGATACGACATGAAAGTCAACTAGTATGGTAAAAACCGTAGTAACTCATTTGACAAACTTAGATCATCGTATAGTATGTCTCACTAATGGGGCTTTTTGGTACAAATGGCCATAATCATAATAGTCATAATTTAATTATTTACATACCCATGCTCATTGCTCTGACAATTGTACATGTACACATGCATGTGTATGCTGCTTGTATTCACTCATTTATTGAGTCACTGTATTCACTCATTTATTGAGCCACTTCGTGAAAGTTGAATGGTAAGGAAAGAAATAATAAATGAATAGGAAAAGGATAAGCAAGGGGAACGAAATAGAAAGGAGAAAGGAGATGCATTGTTGTCCTTTTCCTTTCTCTCTTTCTATAAATTCAATTATTTCATCATCTAAAAGTTTCTGAAATATAATAAAGTTTCTATTTATGCTAGTAGGTAAGTGTGAATTATCTACAATTGTGAGAGCATAGCACTTTGAAAGTTATTGTTCTTTTGCGGAGCGTGTACATGTATGTGTGCACATGTATCATGGATATGTGCTGGTGTATTTTGGATACATATATGTGTTTATGATCATGCCAATGGGTTCTTTGTGATGTACGATCAAGATAATCACACAATTCATAAGTAACTTAGTTACAATCGCCATTCTCATCGCTAACTCTATATGTTGTATACGTATACGTATTTTGATCATTTAATTTATTCGCTTTGTGCAGTTGAAAGGTAATTTGAGAAGTACCTCGTCCTTTCTGGATTCAATTTTCATACTTTTACATTTGCCAGTTGCCTTCTGAAGATTCTATAATTATTATTTCCTATCCATTTCGTATTTGTGGAAAATATGGTTTGACCTCTTTAAAACGGAAGTAAATAAGAATAAATGCATGCCTCGTGATTCATCCCACTTCTTGTTTGTGGAAAATATGGTTTGACCTCTTTAAAGCAAAAGTAAGTGAGATAAATACATGCCCCATAGATTCATCCCCTATCGCCCCTTCTATTTTCTTCTTCTTGTTCGCCTTTAAATTTCCTTTTGAGTCTAATTTTCTTCTCCTTGATTTCTATCTCTTTAAGCCCCAATAAGGGACAACAAATTGTAGCAAATAGGTATGCCCTCTCTATCTCTTTACAAAAGCTATTGACACTTCTGTTCTCAATTTCTTACATCTAGATCTCTCTTTGCAAATAGGATTCCTCATTTTGATTTGTCATACCTATCTTATTTTCGCTACTTTTTATTACTTATTGCAATAATCGCATCTCAGCATCTTACATCTAAATTTGTCCGATCATTATCTCTTTGGGTCTTCTTAGGCAATTTATATTTCAATTATGAGCTGCTAGTTATAACGTTATGTATTGGTCCATATAGGCTTAAGGTTATCGATAGCGGATAGCGTCACGTAGCGGTGAGGCATCGCTAAGGTTATTTCGGGCTATTGCGGCAAAATAGCGGTAAAAAGTACAAAGTCAAATAGCGGTTTAATTTAGATATGTATAAATATTAAAAAAATTAAAGAAAAATCTAAGAAATCTAAAAGTACATATTAGATGATTTAAAGAGATCCTAAACATGAAATAGACATGTACCATCACGTAATACCAAAGATGACTGGAGGAGTTAAAAAGTCACCGTTTTCGAGAAGAAGAGCTTAGCGATGACAGTAATGCCCTAAGAGGAGCTCACTGTGAAGGAGGTGAGAGGAAGTATCAAGGTAGGTGTCAGAGGCTATGAGAGGTGACGGGAGTATGCTGAAAATCACAGGAGACGGTGAAATACAATGGTCAAGGGTTGAGTTTAATTTTAAAAAAATAAGCCTCAAACCGCTTTTAAATAGCAGTCAAAAAGCAAATTTCGAATACAATCGCTCACTATTTACCGTTATGACTCAAACCGCTTTTAAATAGCAGTCAAAAAGCAAATTTCGAATACAATCGCTCACTATTTACCGTTATGATACACTATTGGCCGCTTTTGCGAACAGACATATTCCGTAACATGTCACCACTATTGCGCGATAGCGTCGAGGCCGATAGCGTCGCGGGAAGGGACTACTAACGCTATTAGCGCCGCTATTGCGGAGCTATTTACCGCTATTTATAACAGTGTATAGGCTGTATGATTTCCTAGTCAATTTCTCTCTCTTTTCAATATTTTGCATTTTGGTTGTAGTAGCTATAATTTCTCTTACAATTTCTTAGTCTTATTTTGTTAAAGTTACATTTTTCTTATTGTTTTTTTACTATTTACATATGTTATAGTTATGTAATTTTTTATTGAAAAGAGTAGTAATTTAATCTTATTTCTGAGATCTTTCATGATCTAGTTTCATCCTTTAACACTAAGCTGGAGCAGTGGAGTTCTAGTTATGTGTTAGTCCAACACTATATTAATGGTTGACTATGACATTCATGAAGATTGAACTATTTTTTTAGTAAGTTTTGCTGTAGAAAATATTGGCGTTATATCAACAAATTGACATTTTTTAATACTTTTTGGGCAAAGGACTTAGCCTGAATTTGAACTTTGGAACCCCCATTACATATCCCAACTTTATATGTAACCTTATTAGGCTCATCAGGCAAAGTCATAATTTTTGAATTGAAAGTCAATAATTGTTGTGTGTATAACACTAAATTAAATTGGGATGATGAAAATGGAGGAGTGCTTTTGTAGAATACTTATTAGATTGAAAGGGAAAGTTTTACAGGACTATAAGACCGGGAATGCTTTATTGATCAGAATTTTTGCAATAAAAACATGTGTAAAGAATGGGTGTAGTAGAAATGATAATTTTATAATGGTCTTGTGGGTATACACTAAAAGATAGGATACGAATGGAGTGCATTTTGAGGAGACTAGAGATTCTTATTGAGGATAAAATGAGAAGAAACCAGATGAGATGATTTGTACAACAAAGGCCTTTTTAGTGCACTAGTTAGGAAAAGTGATAATATTATAGTTAATGGGGGCAAAGAGATATGGAGATAGACCTAAAAGAACTTGATAGGAAGCAATTAAGGATGATGTGATAATAGTTATAGAGTAGATGACCCCAAATAGTACTGAATAGAAGAATAGGATTCATGTAGTCGACCCTAAAAACTTAGGATGAAAATTTTGTTGTTGTTGTTGTCGAGTATGGAGCATTTTGGGGCACACATAATTATCCTAAAGGTGATAATAGGATACGCCAACAACTATAAAGTGTTCTATGTAATTGCCAAACTAGAGTAGGATACACCAACAACTAAAAAGTGTATTATTTAATTGCCAAACTAGAGTAGGATACACCAACAACTAAAAAGTGTATTATTTAATTGCCAATAGTTGAGAATTCTAACATGTTTTTTGTTTAATTGCCATATTGTTGAGAATTCTATGTAAATAAGTGGTAGCTAATTCTCTATATCATCTATATCATCATTGCTTGTTCATTGTGCTCAAAAGTTAATGCTTTAAATACTTTAACCAATTTAACCATATTTGAACTTAACTTGATTTCTTATGCCTGTCGGTTAGTACTCATACCTAGTAACATAGAAAAGAAAGGAAAGGAAGGATGCATTTTAAGCATTTATGGTGGTGAATTCATACTCTGATTATGTTTTTTCAATGCATTATCATACCAAATACAAAATACTTTTTACATTATGCAGATGTATGAGCAATACTATCATTTTCGTTTATGGAAGTAAGTCTCTACATGTTCTTTAAGAGGTTTACTGAGAATGGAAAGTGCTGGTTTACACAGCTTATTGCATTAGCAGGCTGCACAGGCTCTCTGCCTCTGTGAGATCGAACCCTCCATGCAGAAGTGTCTTTTTCTGATTTAGAGTGAAAATAGTGAGTGGATTTTTAAGCAATAGTGGAGTTTCTCAGGGTTAGGAATTTTTCATCGATTACTCCATTATGACAAACTGACAATGTTCCCATCAAAGAATCATTTTGCAGCTAGGCGGAGTTCATTGCATGTATAAAAATGTCTTTTGACGTCCTCTGGCAGCCCAGTCATAGTCCTCAATGAATCACCATGGCTATTCAATTGTTATCTGCCATTTTCTACCCAATTTCTTTAACATGCATGCACGCATGCACACACATACTTCTTTTTTACTTATGTGCTATAAATGTGCCACTTACTAAGAGTGATAAGATTAACTGAATGATGATTAGAGCTGACCATGAGCATGTACTGCTACAGCTAAAAAGGATACCATGGTCATTATTTTAATAGAGCGATGACCGTTGAACATAACTGAATGGAGGAAAAAGGATTCTTACAGTATAAGGACATTTTTTGCTGTTGCTAATATTTCTTGCTTCATGGCCCGATGAGATAGATTTTTCATTTTATCTCGATTCTCATTTACTTGTTATTCTAGGATCTTCGAGGAATTAGCTTGGTTAAATGAAAGACTAAGTGTATGCATTAAAATCCTAATTAACGCAGAGAGTTAGGAAGAACATTGGTAGAAAATGAAACCTCTCTTCAGTTTTAGTTCTTTTACTAGACATCCTAGCTTTGGCTTTCCTGTGACTGTTGCACTTGCGAAGACACTAACAATTTGGTCATTTTGTATCTCATAATGAAATGTTTTTCCTTTTCATATTTAAGGAAGAAACTATGATAATTGTCCCATTATTTATTCATTTTTCCACATGCAGGTTGTTGACGGCCCACCTATATCATTGTCCTCTCAAAATTTCCTCTTCTCAAGTTCAGGTTTAAATTCGCTTTCTTCCTGCTTCCCGACAATTGTTTGGTCTTTCTGTTGTGACCATCCAGGTTGATGATGGATGCGGTTAAAGTTTCTTATTGTGTGACATTATTTGCTCTAATTGCTGGCATGATGATGTTTACATCCATAATCACGATGTTTGCATCTAACTATGTCGTCATTCCAGTGATATTATTCGGAAGTGGTGGAAGGGCAGTTGAGTTCAAGGAAAATATGGTGGTAATAGCTATGCTCTTTTATCCTCTGTTCCTCCTTGCATATACTTTCCTATCTTTTATGTTCTGTCTACTAGCCGCGCAATTAATATCTTCAAGCATTGGAGAAGGTATGCAGCTTTCTAAGTTGTCATTGCAGAGAAAGAAAACTAAGGTATCTGAATACACAAAAGAAAGTCATTTAGATGATGAAACTGTTGAAAAACAAGAGTCTGTAGCCAGGATGATCCCCAAAATCCTAGAGACTTCCATGGTCTCTATGAAAAATCAATCTGACAGTTCACTCATGGGCTTTAATCTTCGTCAGCCAGAAAGAACTGAAGAAGCTGTGCAGCTTTCTAACTCAGCATTGCAGACAAAGAAAACGAAGAAAGCTGAGTATAGAGAAGAAAGTCATTTAAATGATGAAACTGTTGAAAAACAAGAGTCTGTAGCCAGGATGATCCCCAAAATCCTAGAGACTTCCGTGATCTCTAGGAAGAATCAATCTGACAATTCACTCCTGGACTCTAATCTTCGTCAACCAGAAAGAATTGAACTTGACCATCCTCCAAAGGAAATTTCTAGCTTGCAAGCAATTCAGTCAGTTTCGGATGAGATTTGCACTGGTGGATTAGTGGATGCAAGTTGTCTGTCAAACCCCGGGTTGATGAAAGAGAGTACAATAGTAGGAACAGGTTTGCTTGATGAGGAAAGTCATATGATTGGTTCATCTGAACCTCTTGACTCAGGTAGCTTAAACAGCATGTCTGCTGCTAGTGAAGGCAGTGGAAGGAATGCAACCACTGCACTGGGCCGTGCAATTAAGAAGCAGGTAGCTGATATCCTTGAGGAGTTTTGGGCGCTTTTCTTTGACTATCATGGTGCACTGACTGAAGAAGCAAAGTTGATAAGAGTACATTTGCTGTTGGATTTGGCACTTGATTCATCTTCTGAATTAAAGATGCCAGCAGGTGTTGCAGAATCACTATCCCAAAAGTTTCCTTTAGCTGCTGAAAAGCTTCCATTGGCAGCAAACCCTACGGACTACTACAGTGGACCTATATTATCACTCACTGCTCCAAGTACTGAATTACCTTATTTGGTGGACGTAGGAAGTCAATATTGGTTACCTACATATCATTCACAGTATCACACGCCAAGTGAAAATCAGGTAATCTATACCCTAGTTCCAAGTGGATTTGGTCCATTATATAGTGGTTTACACTACATGATACCGCCATTTTCCAGTGGAACAAACTCCTTATATGACAATACAATGCATTACAATACTCTTTCTGTTCAAAGATACGAGCAATATGGTGACTCGTCTGCAGATGTAAACTTGCAACATCTGAATCTTGCCTTCAGAACTGAGGTAGATCGTTCAGTATCTGAACCAATCCTTGGTCGTAAGGATCTCAGGACTAAGCTCCAAGAACAGACTCCTCCTCAATCCAGTATAACATTGACTTGGGGAGGCCGGGGTATAAGTAGTGAAAATGGTATTCCCAAAGAGTTTCTTTCTTTTAGGGAGACAGACCGCCTTTTGATTCAGTCTGTTAGATTTTGTATAAGGAAGCTGATGAAATTGGAGGGATCAGGTTGGCTATTTTTTGGCCAGAATGATGGATGTGATGAAGAACTGATACATTATTTCGCTGTGGCAGAGAAACTATTGGGTAAAGATGATCTTTTGCAGGAAAATCCGAGGAGTGAGGAGGGTGGTAAGACTATATCTCTGCCTGTTATACCTTACTGTGGGGAAGGCTGCATCTTGCAAGCTCGCCTAGTTCTGAGCTTTGGTGTCTGGTGTGTTCATCGGATCTTGGACTTGCTACTTGTTGAGAGCCGGCCTGAGGTGTGGGGAAAATACACATATGTCCTTAACCGCCTGCAGGTAAACATCTCAAACAATTTTTTTTGTCACTCTCTTGATGTATATCTTATATTGACCTTATTGAATGTCTAGTGCAACTAGTTTTGTGAGTTAATGCCTTGAATTTCATGGCTAGTCCCAGAACTTTTCAGTTATAGAGGATAGTTGATTGGTTTTGTACCATTTCACGGCATTTACTGGACAGGCAGAATTGGAACTAGATTACGTAGGTGCTCTATGAGGCATGAATATCTTTGTAACAAAGAAAAGAAAAAAACTTGAAGTGTTATACAATGCAAAAACATCAGGTTTAACAGTTTAAACTGGATATCTATCTCTTAGTGTGGAGAAATTAATACGCTTTAAGACCAGTATGGTCTTTTTCTCTTTACCTTCACATTTAGCAATTCTGATACTTTAGAATAAACTGATTGAATGCACAGGTGCCTTGAGTTAAATATTAAAACTGATTTGTTTTCAGTCTAATTCATCTAACTTTTTTTGTCATAGTCAGAATGCAGCATTATTTACAGACTGTAAAATCATTGATATTTAGGGTTTCCTTTCTTTCCTCCTTTTCCCTTTTTTTCCCTTTGAATATGTGATTTCTTATGATAGTTTAATCCTTAAGCTGGCATAACTCAAACCTAACGGGTTTCTCATACCATGTAAACCCATCAAGTTTCCATCCATGTCAGGCACTATTATTTTACATCTTTGTGCTATATTTTCAAAGCATCCTAAACCAGTTTGCTATGGCTGCTCAAAGCATCACGATCTTCCACATAAATCATATTTGAGATAAAGAATTATTTAGTATCATATGTCGCTATGTGTGTGTTCTGGTTGTTGTTTTCATACATTTGTGTACAATGCAGGGAATTCTTGATCCAGCCTTTTGCAAGCCCAGACAGCCAATTTTTTGTTGCAAGTGTCTTCAACTTCCGGAAGCACTCCAACATACCAAAGAGAGCCCTGGTACTGTTCAGTTCACTTCCAGGGACTTTATCCTTGAGCTGATAAAGGATGTTGAAATTTCAATCTCTGGACGCAAAGGCCAAGCAGGTACTGGAGCAGCAAAAGTTGCTTTCCCTCAAGGGAAAAAGAACTTAGCACCAGTTTTAAAGCGCTACAAGCGACGGCTCTCAAAATCTTCATCGTGAAAAGGACCATCATTCTCGACTTCTTTGATCATTCCTGTTATTTTATACTTCATAATGTGAAAACCATCCAGACTTCCCTTGGGCAGTGAACTATTTCCGCCAGAATTTGAGTTCCTTTAGCTTATTGGATTACCTTATGCATCTTCTATGTTTCAAAACATTCCGTAATTGATCATTCTGCAGAAATTGACTGAGGGTCATAAAGGTTTAGGTTATATTTATCTTCCATGCTCCCTTTTCTTATCCTTTATGTTATTTCAGCAGCTGTGACAGAATACCTTAATGATGGAGCCTCACCAATATTCTCGCTAAGTACATCGGTACATCGTAGATGCATGTCATATTCACCTTTCATCTTATCTTAAAATTTATTATTATGTTAGGCATATTATATCCATGTTCAAGCAAGAAATAAAGTATACACAAGAAATAGCATTCATATTTAATTTGAGTTAGGAATGCATTTATAATTAAACAACGAGAGGGCTTTCCTAAGTGATTGTTGACAGTTTGAGATTTTTTTTTCCATAATATTCAACATAGACAAAGGAAAGAAAACATAATCTAAGATCTTTATTATCCCTTAAGATGTCCCCGGCATACTGTAACAACTATTGAGGATTAACCTTGCTATTCTCTGTGTTGATATTTCCGGTTAATTTCACCATTCGTTGTTTACCATCAGCTTTTCATATAAGATTACAACATATTGGTTAAAGATAGGTTGAAGGCTTTTAAATTTCTGTTTAGTGAAGATTTTTTAAGTCTTTGCAATGTCCTATTAGTTCAGTCTTGTATAGCATACCTGATTTCATCATGTATACTACTGTTCAATAGAACTTTCGGCGTTTATATTTCTGTACGTTATTTATGAATTCCATCTGGAGTGTTCAATATAAGTGTCAGTACTATGTTGACACATCTTGTGTCACCATAATGATTATGAAGCTTGTTAAGTAGTAAATATAATAGTTAGGTCTTGATTTCATTTATTGGTTTGCACAATTGGGTATCAACTACAAAGTTCGCTTGGTGTATATTCTCATTTAAAAGCCATTGGTTTAAGATTTTGGACATAAGAGTTTATCTGACATGCCATTGGAGGACCACAAGGTCCTTTCAGAAGTTCCCATGTTCAAAATTCATCATTTGTAACTTAGCATATGTGTATTAACCCCTGTTTATTTTGCCTTTCCAAGTGAGTCATGTTTACACCGGAGGCCTCTATGTGTTGGCCAAAGGCCACACAAGGGGGGGTGTTATGTTCTCTTCATTTAAATTTTTTGGATGAATATTAGGGTAAATAAATCGAAAATATGCTTTTAGGAAAATAGAAGAAGAAAAGGTTTAGGGCTAGGGATATATATCCCTAGAAATATTAGAACGGCTAACTGATTTATCCATCTTCCAGCATTACGTAAATATAGATAATTGCCCAATATGGACTCGTAAGCACAGTGTGACCTAATTATAGCAACAAAGGTTGATATAAAATGCTGTATAAACTATTGTTCAAATATCATTTTTAGAAATTGGTCTATTTGTTATGTTTGGAGGTATTTCTTTTTACTAAGATCCTATATATTTTCATATTGGGAACTAACAAGTTTATTATAATTACGATTCCAGTATGAACATTAATTGTCTAGACTAAGAAAAAGTGCCATCATGATAGTACTTGCATCACATACAAAGCTGTAAGGAAGTTGGTGTCTAAAATCTCCCCTTAATGCTCCCCTTAATGTATGCATCCAAAATCCAATAATACACATGAGCACTATCAAACGGGCATTTTATGTACAGTGAAGTCTTGTTATTGCGAGTCATTTGCTCTTGTGCAAGTCTGATTCCTTGCATGCACATAATATGGGAAGTTTATTCCCTCCTCCAGTAGCTAGTGGGATTAGGAGAGTCTGGATAGCTTACGGGACCACTGCTCTTATTGTGCCCTTTCTTCGCCCTTTTACTCTCTTCATTTTGTCATGTCATCATTGTTTGGTGGCATCAAACTTGTTTCAAATATCACACCAGCGTTCAGAATTATTTTGCTTTTTTCATGGCAGTGCTCTAGGATAGTCTATCTAGTATTCCTCTAATGTTAATTTTGTTTATAAACTTATCAATTTTGAATACTTACTTCCAGTTTTGTACTCTTGAATCTACTTATACAGAGTAATAACCTTCATTTCTTTGTCTCTGTAGCAGTTTATATATTTCCCTGCTTAGTGTAGATGAAAGCATTCAGGTCTACTAGTTAATGTTATCTCGTGGCCAACGCCTCATTAACCACTTGTATCGGCTCCTTACAAATTTCTAATCGATCGTCCTTGTTGCTTGTAGTGCAGTTTATGCTACTTCCATTTCTACGGATAGATAAATTACTACATTTGTTGTGGCTTGCTCTCCTCTTTTGACCTTCTTCAATGTAGGTAAGTGCTTCTTTTGTCATTAATGTATTAATAACGTTACTCAGGCCAATAACGTGTATTAGGAATATTACCTCGGTACTAGCATTGAGCAGTTATAGTGGCTGCACTGCTGTCCTGCTGTTATTGTTGGTGCCTTGATGCTGTCCTATTTCTTTTGTCCGCCTGTGATACCCTAGCCGCCCTGCTTCTAATTCCGGAACACTAATCAATTCTTGCCTTCGCATGTATGAATTCTCATGGTCTTCTTTGATTGAAACTTATATTCCCTTTTGGATATAATGATTATGAGGAGTGTGTTTCACAGCTATACTGTGATCTCTGTTTTGAATTCATAGTTTGCTTGCATTATAATGTAGCTTAAATTGCAATTGATACTGGTCGTTTTTCAAGAGTTATTTATTCAGTGCATGCATATAGATTCCTTTTTTAGGATTTCTTTTTTCCCGTACCTAAGTTACAGGATTGCATTTTATCGATGTGATCTGTTTACATTCATCATTCTTCTTCATATCTATCTTGTCCTGCATAATTTAAGTCTTTTTCTTATATGTGAATAGAAAAAGTCTTTTTAAATTTAAAAATTACTTTTGTAATTTATCAACTTATTAATTTTTATTTTTCATGGATATGTACTTATCTTTGTACCAGTTTTTATGGTTACAATATGTTATTTATCTTTTTTTAAATTATGATTTTATTTTAAATAGCCTTATTTAGTTATGTATAATGGTGGAATTTATTCTTATTTAATTTTATGCTAACTTTTAAATTTCTTTGTATATTTGTGTGATATGCACTAATATCAATCTAGTATTGACCAGCATCGGATTGAACAACGGAGACAATTTATTGGGGTTATACATCATTATGCTCAAAAGTTCTACAAAATATGACTGTTACATATTGGTATCATAAGACTTTTCAAAACCCTACCAAGAAGCGTCACATTGATATTGTATTAACCGTCCTACCTGTTAGTGTGAAATATGCTAGGATGCAAATGGAATTTATTTGGGTCCACATCCATGTCTGAATGGGTATAAGGGTATGGATATTAAATGTCCATATCAGTGTCAGTTTTGGTGGATGTACATAAGATCATCCCTACTGAACTACATTTGTATTCGTACTGTATTTAATAGATGCCATATCCTATCCATTTGCATCCTATAGATAGAAGGATTAGCCTTCTTTACATTATTTTCTGCAGCTATATAACTACTTCATAAATCACCATGTATATAGTAATTATTATTTTTAACTGGAAACCATCATAACATATGTATAAAAGCTGTGTACAATAAAACACCGCTCTTGGAGTGTATGACTCATACATAACCAAGAGTGCCGATAAAAATGATTTGAGTACAGAACTCAAACCATGCACAGCGCACAAAAGACAAAACTATGATAATAACCCAGACATGAAGGCCTCCTAAATGAGCAAAATTACATTAGGGGAATCTGTAAAACACTGATCCATGCCTCTGATATGAACTAGGAGCTTCTCAAGTTCAAAGCAGTAGTGCAGGTGGTCCAAAGAGTGCCCATGTATATATTAATTGTTATTCTATTCAAGCGCATTAGCTAATTTTTGTTTCGAGTGCAATATCACCTGAGTAATATTATGTTGAATTTTTTTTTTACTAGTGCCAGTTTTGTGGCGAGAGAGGATGCAAGCTGTTGCTATCTATGAAGATTCAGTTAGCCTATCGTGCTAAACTAACAAATGAAGCAAAGGTATTGACTATTTTGTTGGGTTTCGAATTTGAACCATCTCCTACTCTTAGAGTCGATTTTTGCATCAGGAAGCGCACTCTTGATACTGGAATACACAATTAGGCTGTTTAGTCAAAGTGGTGAGATTTCACTGTTATTCTGCCACTTTGCTTTTCTGTGAGGAAGACTAACATTTCGCAAGCTAGTTTTTTGGTGAGAGATGCTGCTCATGAAGATGCAACCTGAGCTTTTTGGGGAAATTCTATGCATTCTCTCCTGTCGGCAGGTACACTGAACTCGATCTTGCTCGTTCTTTTATCAGCATTTTACATGTTCTCTCTGCCATTTCTTATTTCTTCTTGTGTAGTGCTTCGAGCTATGTTTCAATTAATAGGGAACAGACCCTAAAATTATTCATCTGTATACAAAGGATTGATTTTGCACAATCCAATCATTTATTTCTTTGATCGTGTTGAAGGAAGATTTAATTAGAGTGACTTGCTGATATCGTCAGGCTTCTTTTGACTGCTACGATGCACACGTAAATACAATACCAGCATTCTTGATCCAGCTTTCTGCAATCAAAGTGAAAGCTTACTCCTATCGCCTGTGATTTCAACTGAACTCCTAGTACAGGTACTCGTCAGAACAAAGTAAACACGAAACCTGCAGCCAGCCTGCAGGCTATACTTTTGGTGAGTTAGGACAATTCTTTGATTCAAAATGAAAAGTTCTTTGCATTTTATTTTTCTGTTTAGCTGTTTTGATCGACAATCTTTAGTACTATCATACGTCATATCATGTGTGTAACTTGGTCAGGCTATCAGTGATCAAGGTACAATACGCGGTATCAGCTCTCCTTACTATATCAAAACATGATTTAGCGAACTTGGGTGGAAAGCCTGCTAAAAGTGTCAGTTTTGACAGGCTTTCTTGCAAATAGAGACGTTTTTGCAAGAAAGCATGGCAAAACTGACACTTTTGACGGGCTTTCGCCTTCCCCTTATGCAAACAAACAGCCCTTAGTTATATTTTTTGGTGGGTGTGTTCAGGTGGGGGCAGCCAATCGTGGCCTTCGTATCAAAACAGGAACATCAAATTTTAATTCCTACTTTTCTTTTTTCGCTTATCTATTAGGTTTCGTTTACGTTAAGGTAGCCTGCACGAGGGATAACACGTGGTGTGCTGCATTTGGAAGTTTATGGACTTCCTACTTTCTAGTACTTGTAAAATAAAAATAAAAATATGTTGAGCTTTACATCAAAGAGGTATGTTTTCTAACCCGGCCGATTAACCGTACGAATCATTGTTTGTTCTGGGTTTTTATGTAAGAATTAACCACAACCTCCATGCGTTCTTCCTCCTCAAACGTCCTCGGAGATGATCATCACCGAACAACTCTTATCATCAATTTTCTCCATCGTCTCGATTTTCACGTTGAAACTGTCTAGCTGGATTACAAATGCTGTCTGCTGTTTTGTGGTTATCAGGTGATCATGGGCTTCGTGGTTGTGATATCGCTACCCCTCGTCATACTTGTCGCCATTCTTGCAGTGTGGCCCAACCGCAAGCCCAAGATAAAATTTAAATACTTTTGTGTTCGTCGAATAGGGTGTCTCACTTTTGCGCTTTTATCAAATTATTATAACTTTTACCGATGTGACTGTGACTGTGATACTATACAAGTGAGCTTATTTTTATTTGAGATGGTAATGCATTTTGTCTTTATCCTGTGTCAAGCGAAAGTGCGATAGAAATTTCAAGGTATGATGCCAGGGGTGTCTTTGAAATATTTGTGTTGCTTGGATCTATAGCTTAAAAAAATCAAGTGAGTCTCGTCAGGTAGCTAGATGGGTTGAATGTATAGATCAATAGGTTAATTTTGTTAGGAATTTCTTTTTCCAATCGAAAAAAAATAAATTTATAGTTTTAAAACATTTAAGGCTTCGTTTGGATACTATGTTTTTCTTGTTTTGATTTTGTAAAAAAATGTTGTAGTGCTGTGCTTTCCACTTAAAAGCGTTTGCAAAATACAATGTTGAGTTTTTTGGTGAACACTAGTTTGATGCATTAAAATATTAGTAGTAAACATATTATTAATATATTATATATTAAATATATAATAAAATATATTATAAATAAAATGTTATAATATTTAGTTTACATTATTATAGTATCCTAAATATTAAATATAATACAAAATAATATTGTATACTGTATTGTAATATTATATTGTACTTTAATGTGTTATGTTATACTATAATTATTACATATTATTTCCAAATAGTAATACATTTAATTATATCAATTTGTTATTGCTATATATTATACAATATTTTTAAAATAATATTATTTTATTATTAATATAACGTTGTACTATTATTAATATAATCATTTGTCAGTAGTAAATTATTTTAGTATTAAAATTATTTTATTTTAGTATTAAAAATATTTAATAATATATTATTTATTATATAAGATATTAATATTTTTGTTATTGTACTACATTTACTATAGAATATAGTATTATTATTATTAATATATTATAATAATATTTTTATTATTATTAAACAAGTTACTATTATATAATATTTTATAATTATTAATTTATTATAATTTATTTATTAAAAAATAATAATATTATAGTGATTATAATATTGTATAGTATATTATTTTGCAAATAAGTCTATTTTGCAAAATTTTCCTTTTTCAGTGGTTCAATGCTTGAGGAGCGGAGCGAGATAAGAGATTGAATTAGAGAAGAGAATAATTTCAAATTTGAACTTAAATTAGATATAGATGCAAGGTAGCAACAGAATATCATGTCCTCTCCAGATAATTAATATCAAAATTAAAATAAGTGAAAAAAGGAAAAGAGGGTTCATTTTTGTGACCCATTCGCCTGCGTACTTTTTTTGATGGTAGGCCGTAGACATCAATCAAACGGTCAGGGAGACCAATGTGGGCTTTGAGAAAAGAACAAGAGGCCCCCACTTGTGTGTTACACGAAACATAGCTGGCCCTGTTTCAGTCCGATTTAAATCTCGATGTTTACTTGGCAACAAAATAATTGGCAAACAATAATCACAATAATTGAAATTTTACTTCATCTAAAAAAATTCATAACACTTGTCTGTTTTGTGGATAAAAGTGGATGCATGTAATGAATTTTGAAAAACCCATAATTAAAATCGCGTTTATTTGTGATGGGTATATTAAAGAAGATTTGTATAAAGGATAAAACCCAATCAAATTTTATTTAGTTGTGCATGAATTTCGTTGAGGATACAGATTAAATTAGAAAGATAATTAAGTATAAAATTGAATAATTCCTAGCATTAACTGAAAACATTTACTCTAGTAGATAGCCAAAATAGATTTGAAAATGCAACATTTATTATTGTAAAAATTTTTACAAGAAAAATACCTTAAGGACCCAAAATATGGTATCAATGAAGGGAATATGTGAGGTGTCCCCTCCCTATTGTATAATGAGCTGGTCATACCAGCTCATTATGCAATAGGGAGGGACATCTCACATGTCCCCTCAATTGGTCATATTTTGGATCCCTGTAGTAACGCTCAGACCACTACATGCACTCTGCATAGTTTTCTGCCCATAAGAGCATAGGAGAGAAATTGGGCCTAATGTTCTACAGTTAGTGGCTCTTAAATAGAGGTTAGGAATCAAATATTTTAACCCACAAACTCCTATGTAAAATCAACATCTTCTTATCAATCTTAGTCATTCTCCCGATACTTTTGGATGATGCTATTTGTAGGGGAGAAAATGGACCCAATCTAGATCGTTAATGACCTTTATACAGAGATTATGAACCAATTTTAATTCAAAAGTTATAGCTACTATGTATTGACCTCAACTTCTATTTTAAATTGATTACTCTTTCTTCTCCTATCCCGTATGGGACTACACTCACATAGTAATAAACTCAACATAGAGATACGTGCATTAGAGAATATTAGAGCCCTTATGTAAGTACTCCCATGGAATTGGAGGCCCGGTAGAAAGTATATTAGAGAATGTTTAAGATTCAAAATCGAAATTAAATACTTCATTTGAAAAAAGGAAGAACAAAGAAGGTAGGCTTAACCAAAAAAAAAATCCCATTTTGCCATGTTTATTGCATGTTCATTTCTAAATTATGTGAGAGAGTTGTCCTCCATTAATTTGACGAGAGGTTGGAGGAAACGGCAAAGAAAAAAAGAGAGAGAGGAGAAGATCAAAAGATGCACTCTACAAGCTTCATAGCCACAAGAGTATTCGCTCATGAGTTTGGTCAGTACTCATTTTTGTTTCACATGATACACAAATTAATTAATATTTGTTAGGTTCATTCACACGTCAAGCGTCAAAGTAAAACTAATTAAGTCAAGCCATCCTAGTTTGTATAAGAGGGCTCGATAGAGGTTGCTTGCGTTGATCGATGTTCGGATACTCTTTCGGTGCAAGAAAATGTTAAGAGCAGGATAGTAGAGAAAATTGGAACATTAAACTTGACAATACTCTTGCATAAAATGTCCGCTACTTTTAATTCAATCATTCATTCTTTAATGTACGATTCGCTTTGAAACCTAAAGATTGTTTTCCTAAAACAAAACCCCTAAAAGCCCCGGCACGCAAAACGCACCCCCTCTTGTTGTTGGCAATAAATATTTTAATTTAGAATCTCGCCCAATCAAATTATGGTTTGTAGCACCTCGGCGGGTATACAAGTCTTATCCACCAAAAAGGCATCTGAAAAATGTTTTTCACACAACACTACTACTACTACTACTAGCATTTAAAAAACACAACTTCAAGTAAAAAAAAAGATGAAACTTTGTAATTAAGAAACCAAAAAGCATAAACCAAGAATATGCCATTCCTATCTTTTTCCCCTTTTTTTTATCTGCGGAGTGCAGAATCTTCTCCGAGGTCTGTGGGGAAGTGACAAGTTCCCACTTCGTACCAAGTCGTGAGTCATGGAGGGGGGGTCTGTTTTCTGTTTTCCTTTGGGGGCCCATGAGCCCATGTGCTCCTCCTCCCTAAAAAATTTAAAAAAATTCAAAAAAAAAAAAAGGAGTACCGAGCTTATCCTGATGCTGGTGATGCGACAACCAGCATGTGTTGTTAGTTGATTAGAAGAGCAAGCGGTCGGTAGTCATCCCATCCCTTGTCTAAACTTTATCATTTATAAACAGTTGTCCGAGGGAAGAAAAGAGAAGAGCGTTTATCATACTGATAAACACTCCTTTTTTTTTAAAAAAAAAGTGAGGTTTCAGATTCCATTCTTATAAGGATTTCTGAGATATGCTAAGATAATTAGTCGCAAATAAATAAATAAATAATAGGAGATACTACATTTTGATACTTCTTTTCTCCTTACAGATCAGGCTTTGTCTATCGTATCATACTCTCTTTAAAAGCACGGGTTCGAAAAAATATTTTGATAGACAAAAACACCCTTAAAATAAATAATTTTATATTTAACCATGTGCGTCGCACGTGCTGAAGAACTAGTATGAATAAAAGGGTGATGCGCAGACATAAAAATATTGTGAGGTGGATTTATTAGATTGTGTGGATAATGCTATTAATATGATAATGTTAGGTACGACGGCGGGTTTGAGTGAGGGAGAGCAAAATTATGTAGGGATGATTAGTTTGGGATTTTTTTTTTTGTTGTTGGGTCCTGCCATGTGCAAATCCAAACAAACCTAAGACTGGTTCGCAAGCCCAATCAACTTGGGCAAACAACCAAGTTAGATTAAACGGAAGGTGAGTGAGGTTACAGGCCATCCAGAATAATTTTGGGGAGCCGAATCTTCAATTCGGCAATAATGTCATTGAATTTCATTTTAGGAAGAAGGGTTTAGTTTAATTGAAACCCTTCTATAAACAATTTCTTAATCTAATACCGCTAGAGCTAATTAGGGGCTGTTTGGTTGTATGTTTTTACCATGTAAAAGGATGTAAAGTGTAAAAAAGTGGGTCCCAATGTCAGCTTTCATCACTTTCAATTGTTTGTTTGTAGTTGTGAAAATAGTATAAAGTGACTTCATATGCTGATGTGGCTTGTAAAGTGATTTCATGAAAAAAAGACATGATTTTAGGAGAAAACTAACATTGAAGTTAGGAAAAAATAATAAAAAATAATTCCAACCGATATGATCATTTGAGTAGGGACCACTTTTTTACACTTTCCAAACAAACAATTAAAGTTTCATTTTGCCAACCAAACAAGTGTTTTATGATTCCAATGGAATAAAAAACAAACAAAGAAAAGTATAAAAGTAAAATTGATGAGGTGGACAACAACTTTCAAAAGTTGTGTCATAAAAACACAACTTTACCAACAACAACCAAACAGCCCCTTAGGACGAGAGTCTTTTCTAAAAGTACTTTTTGAGATGCGAATCTGAAAAACAGGACTCTGTGTTCGCATAAACCCACAGGATATGCTTCTTCACTTCAGAGGC